CAAAATGGGTTGTGTTAGAGACAACGACCAGTTTACAAGTGCTAAGGTGTCTACTTCGATAGAAAATCATAAGTTTGGGGGTAGTTTGTAACCCAACAACCTACACCGAAAAAGATTATGTCGTATGAAAATTGCCTAAAAACCGTCCCGTCCTCTCGACGCCGTTACAACTCCCCAAATAAGGCGTTCTCGATTGCAAATGACCTTAGTTATTCAGAACACATAAAATGAACATTCACATCTGGTTCTGAACGTTCCATATTCGAAATACGGAGGTCTGTTACACACACTGCCCCTGTCACAGACTGCCTCACTCTCCCTTACGTACACAGAGTTGAGCAGGTTTAGCAGGTACGGCGCATCGTCCTTAAGGTAAAGCGAGTGTCAGATGCGGAAAATGTGGATTCTGAAGCTGACTGCCAAGGCCGTGGTGGCCTGCGATCAGGCCGCTGCCGGGCGAGAGGTTAAGAGAGGCTCGTGTGGGGTAGCCCCTACACAGTTAAAGTCTTACGAAGCAAAATGCCAAATGCTTCGTACCTACGAAGGATTTTTTCCGTTTAGGTCGATCTTACCGTGTTTAATTTTACGGTCGGACCGAATTAATTTTTAGTGTTTGCGCCGTATTAAATTTCACGACCTCGTCTGATACAGACAGATAGCACCACATTCCAGCAAACGGTGAGACTGTATGTGAATGTACAGTCCGACCCGCTACTGTCACGCACGACCGTATTTCAAATTATGGTCGTGGGCGGATCATTGCCCTGAGTCATATTCAAATCGAGGTAGTGCGAAGGACCGTTTTACAGATGTTGTCCGAAAACTCCCCAGACTCTAACAGATCGCGCCATAAAAATAAAAACTGCCCGACTGTATTCCAAATACAGTCCAAAACTGTAATATGTCAGACCGAAAAATTAAATACAGTCCGACCGTATTCTTAAATACAATCAAGAACTGTAAGAAATCAGACCGTATAACGAAGTGCGGTCCAGACCGTAAAAAGAAATATGGCCCAACCGTAGAAATAAATACCGTTTGGCCTGTAAAATAATTTACAATCCGACCGTGGAATAAAATACAGTAAGGACCATAGGGTAAGATGCCCCATGACGGACACCTTAAGAGATGGATCTGCCCAGTGATGGACACCCCTTTTTCTCGCAATGTAAACAACGCAGCGAGGTAGTTTCGCTTATTAAACGGAAGGAGTCATACTAGAACATTAGTTCGTGCCAAGATCGTAAATTGACGAGTTTGGCTGCAAATCGAGAAAAGTGGCCATCACTGGTCCTAAAAAGCCACATTTTTATCACTCTGCTTTGTGTTGTAAGTAAGTACGTTACCTGTGAAGAAGAATAATAAACTTAACGGACTTAAGTTTCTCGATGCGTTGTCGGCAGTAAGGAGAAGCAATAAGCCTGCTTTTCTTTGCACCACTGCTTGCACTGGTTTGACGTTTACTGCTAACCGGCTCCTCCATGCATTTGCCTTCGAAATAAGTCTGACTGACCCTGGCGCTAGGTGTGCTATAGAAACATTGCCAAGATTTGCATTAGGCAGGAGTGCATTGCTAACACGGTTAAAAAAACAGTTGGTATTATTAACCCAGCACTGTGAATAAATGTAGCGAGGACAGGAAAGTTTTCGATGTGGGATGTCGTACTCTTACAATTTTGTAAGTTAACAAGCTCTCCGTATCGACTTCCAATTGAAGTACAAGCAAGATCGGGAGATTGTAAATGTTCAACACGTTTCGTTAATAGTAATTAATTCCGGAAATGCACAAGTTCACATGATCTGTAAATTTTGTTAAAGAGTGACATACGCTACATTTTGTGTTACAGACTGACAATAAAATGCTTATTTTGAACTCTCCTCGCGTGTTAACTGGAAATGCGACCATTCTCGGAGTTCATTCCTGACATAGTTCATAGCAATTTGCTTTGGCTTTGCAGTGACAAATGTACTCCTCTCGTAGTGATGCATTTATGCACCAAAGTTATCGTCACGGACTGACCAAAAGTAACAGATTACACGACAACTCACCCCATCCAAATTCGTACCCGCGTCCATTCACCCTCAGAAAATTTGAACCCAGTCAATTCACCATGGGAAATTCCAAACCCATGTATTCACCTGCACTAGCTAACAATCCGTGTTCCGATTTTAAAGCCCCAACCTTACCGCAGGGTATCGACGTTCTGATTTTTTGTTAGCAGGTACCTTTTATACTTTCACTAAATATAAAGATTACATAAGTAGCTTTAAGGTGTCAGCTAGTTTTAACTCTCGGTAAGAAGGGAAGAGAACTAAGAGCAAAATCAGAAATCACATATGTGTGCGCTAGGGGAATGGTGTCCGGCTGGCTGAGAGTCGCGTCAAGCCCCTTCCTTACCCTGCCTAACAAAACTGGGCCCCCGCCGCCAGCCGTCCTGCCTGCCCCTCCCCGTATATGTCCTCCTCTACGCCACAAGGCCACCGAATCGTAAGATTGCAAGCAACCAAACAGATTGCAGCTAATGAGAAAAAATAAGAACGTAGCCATATTCATAAATTTGTATCATCTGCTTTCAAGATCGACTTTTTATTTTTAAATATATTTTTAAAACAATTGTTAGCGGATAGATTTTCTACTT